AATTGTTTAACATATATTTATATTTAATGAGTTAGCCATTATACATTATTGAATTGTTTAACATATATTTATATTTAATGAGTTATCCATTAGACATTCTTGAATTGTTTAACATATATTTATATTTAGTGAGTTATCCATTATACATTCTTGATTTGTTTAAAATATCTTTACATTTTCCAGCGGATTATTAAGAAATCAAGACCCTAAAGTTTCTGAAATCAGCAGCATGATTCTTTATAACTGTTTAAATTCCTCACGGATAAAGCAGCTGACTGACAGTCAGGTTGGAATAGAAATTATAGATGCTTTAATAACCCATGTTGCTGAAGGAGTTTGTGAGTGGAGGTAAGCTGGACTGTTAATAAAGTATTTGAAAAGGAGTGTTAAACATCAAGTTTTTAATGAAGTTTGTGATTCAAAGTGTGAAAAATTGAACCATTAATATATCTAACAAAATTATAGATGCTTTAATAACCCACGTTGCTGAAGGAGTTTGTGAGCGGAGGTAAGCTGGACTGTTAATAAAGTATTTGAAAAGGAGTGTTAAACATCAAGTTTTTAATGAAGTTTGTGATTCAAAGTATGAAAAATTGAACCATTAGTATATCTAACAAGACATTTTTTACTGACAAAAAAGCTAACTTTATTCTGAAAAGAATAAAAAACAGTAAAAAGGTTCTTTGATGATGTCAGGCCAGTTTTTAGTTCATGCAGCATTTGTTATTGTCTTATAAGATTATTGGATAAAGTAATTAATGAGGAATGTGTAACATTACAGAAGCCATGCATGAAACCAACTGTTTCTTGTTCAGAAATCAACCAGTATTGGCATAGTCATCTATCTGAGAAGGGATAAATTCTCAGCATTGATTTGCTACTCTGGACAGTTAACTATCTAGTTTGATGCTGGAATGGATGTTGGCATGCTGACCAGAGTGGAATTAACCAATGCTAATGTGGCATCTGTCACACTGTGGCTGAAAGCACAAATGAGGCTAATTACATACCTGAGCTAACTGATTGGTTGAGTGAATATACTGATGTATTTTTGGAACCAGATGGCTGATTGGGTTGAATATTGGTGACTCAACATCATACAGACACAGGCAATGTTTTTCCTGTAAAGCAACCATTACATGGGCTTCCTTGGAGTACAAGGTAGGCTAAAAATGCTACATAATTGGGTAATACAACCTATGGAAACTGCTTTGTTATTTCCAGTAGTGATTGTGAAGAAGGTATACTTATGTTCTGTGTTTATCTTGTATAGGTGAATTGGCAAGAGAAACTGGACAGCAAAAGCAGGACTAAGACTGTTTTTAGCACAAGTAATGCATGTATGATTTTCGTGTCATGCCATTTGGCCTGTGTAACACACCAGCTATTTCCGAGTGGCTGATTCATCTTAAAATAGAGGGACAGGGTTAGGACAAATGTCTGGAGAAGAGTATTCTATCACAGGAGAAAAACAGTTTTAAACTGAAACCAGGAAAATGTTCTCTCATGCTTGCTAAGTTGGAGTATCTTGGTCAAGTTGTGGAGTGAGATGGAGTATTGATGAACCCGGCTAAGATTTATGCAGTAACAGAATAACCTCAACCCTTGATGAAACCAGAAGTCCCAAAATTTCTTGGTTTTGTGTAATATTACCAATGCTTTGTAGCCAACTTCTTGAAGATAACAGAATCACTTTCTGCTCTCAAGAACACTTGGATGAGGTGAGGAATGTAATCAAGAATTTTGATTTCTAAAACTTGGTTTGGCAAACGTTTCAGTCATGGCCTATCCATGCCAAAACTGTTTCTTTTGGACTCCAACAGTAGAGACAATGGATTCAGAGCAATGTTATTGTAGTTGCAGGATGAAGTGGAACATGTAGCCATGTATACTGATTGTAAACTCATGAATTCCAAACACAGATACTGTAAGACAAAGAGCTTCTTTCAGTGGTTGTAAAATATTTGTCACCATTTCTATGGTAGGAAGCTCACTATTTGTATGGACCAGGTTTTGCTAAGTGGTTAATAAACTTTAAAAATCCTAAGGGGTGATAGCAAGTTAGATAACAGTGTTGCAATAAATCATTTTTTCATAGCTCATCGCCTGTACTTGCAGCATGGGAATATGGCGAGACCTTGTCTGTTCATGAAATATTTTTACCCTGAACACTGTGTGGGGGTGGAAACAGTGACTGTTTCTGCCATGGTGAATGAAATCACTTCTTATAGAAAAACATAAATCAATAATGAACAAATATAACAGATGGAATCTCTTAGATTTAACTAAATTATTGTAGATAATAACTTAAGTATTATTTACTCAGTTTGTTTAACTTTATTAAACTTTACCATTTAGGCTTTATTTCACTATGTAAAATATTCCTTCTGTATATAACAACAACATTTTGTTATATTTATTTATGTGCCAAGGATTTGTAATAATAGGAATGATAACATGTGCATGATTTGTTTTTAATACAGTTGCCTTAATTTGGGTGATAGAGCTCAATAGAAAACATTTATGCTCCTGATGAAGGTGTAAAGCTGAAATGTTGAACAAATAAAACAACTTGTAAGATTCTCTGGATTTCATAGTAATTCATTTTTACATAGTTATACACAGTGGCATATGTGCAGATATACGATGCTAAAAAAACGGATTTTAATACCCATGCTGGGCAGAGCACAGATAGCTCATTGTGTAGCTTTATATTTAACTTCAAACAAACAGTTCTACAAACTGTGCTTATGGATACTACTGGTATAATGTTGAACTTACTGTTAAAAGTTTTCTGGATACTGCTGTTTTAACATTGTACTGACTTAACAGTTTTCATGGTTATTATAATGTTGAATCTGATTGTTAATACATTTTGTAGATGCTACTGTTATAATGTTCAACTGTTATACTGTTAGCAATGTTTTATAGGTAATATTGTTATAACATTGAAGTTATTGTTAACATTTCTGCTGTCAGAATTTCATACTTACTACTAACATATCTACTGGACACTCCTATTATATTTTGCTATTTTTGAATAATTTAATTTTTTCATGTGAATATTTGTATTGAAAGACTTTTCTTCATCCATGATTCATACTTTGTTTGTTCATTGTACCGAGAATGATAAAAAATGTAACCTTTTTTATATTTATTTGAATTGACTAAATAAAATGAAAAGAAATATCACCTTTAATAATTTACGATATTTCATATGTATGGCTCATTTTTTGTGAAATTGTTTCTAACAGCTACATATTTTCTTTCTCTTTAGTTTGTATGTTGTGAATAATCTGGTGCAGAATGAAGGGTTTTTCCTGAGATGTTATGACAAGATATCCATGAGAAACAGGTTGGTTGGAAAGTGTAACATGATTTTTAAGATAGGGCCTCAATAAAAAAGCCAATTTTATTTTCTCTCTCTCTCTCTCTCATTTTTTCCATAAATTTGTTTTAATGTTATTTTTAAAAATGAACATCAAAGAAAATACTTAAAGTGAATTATCCTTAAATTCTAGAATGACAAAACCTTGTTGAAACATTGTAGATTTGTAACTGTATTAAATTATTATAAAGTTATATTTGTTACTCATTCAATTCAAAACTTTATTTATCTGAAACAAGATTTCTCATCATCAAATTTAATGTTTGGTCAGCCTGATGAACCTTTCCAACCTTTACCGAACTGATAGTGCGCCTTTTAAGTTATTATCTTATTTTTGGTGAGTTTGGTTGGCACAATGTATGTTTTCAACCATTATTTTACTGATGGTAAATTTGGTCAGTCCAGTGCTTCTTTTCAACCTTACTGGTAGTGAGTTTGGTTAGCCTGATGCTTCTCTTCAACCTTACTGGTAGGGAGTTTGGTTAGCTTGATGCTTCTCTTCAACCCTACTGGTGGTGAATTTTATCAGCCTAGTGCATCTTTTCATCCCTTAACTTTTTGATGGTGAGTTTCGTTAATCTGTTGAATTTTCTCAACCTCTTACCTTACTGATTGTGAGTTCCGAGATGGTACCTTAATTCTGCTCACATGTATAGCTATTCTCATTCAGTGCATACCACAAGCCTTGAAATCTCGCATACCCCACACTCAATGTAGTTCTCTGTGTCTTGTATGTAAATCATCATGCGATAACCCTCCACCAATAGGAGTTGACACATCCTCCTGAGACATTGACTACCTCAATTTGATTTTACTGAACTATCACTTCTTGTTAGGCAGTGGTCTAGTGCAGACATATTTAATTTTGTTTTGCCAAGTAGTGATTGACTTGAATTATTCATTTGCTACAGTTAATAGTTTGCCACAATAACTTACTTTTGTGTATTGATTTTTTCTCATTTTCAACTTCTTCACAGTTTAAGATGAATTCCAAAGTTTGTGTTTTGCAGCTTCTTATATTTTTCCCACTACTTTGACTGCTATTACACAAGCTTCAGGTTGGGAGGTCTCAGCTGAGGGTTTTTTGGCTATCATTCATTGGGAGATGGATCATTATATAAGTTGTTCATGACAATGTTTGAGTTCTTCTTGAATCGTCTGAACCTGTTCTTGACAAGGAAGATTTTGACAACCTTTGTCATCTTCTTAACTATTCCGTGCCTTTCCAAGCCTCACCTGTGGAATCTACTAGGCCTAACTCAGCCTTTTTGGATATGCTTTTTCAAGTGTGTATCATTTTATCAATTTCATATAATACTCTTCCTTCCTTGTTACTTGACACCCTGTCCTTACAGTACATTGATTTCCCTCCTTCCTTTGACATCAGGGTTCATGTGGAGCATTTTGTTTCTCAGGTGAGGGCTGGTGTTAGTATACCTTGCCCTCCACAGGCTTCTGATCATTATGTTTTGCCTTATCAACAGGCTTATCAACCCTTTCTCGACTCCTCGCGGTTGGTGTCACTTTTGCCAATAAGGGAGGCTGTCCCTGAAAATCCTAGCCATTTCTCCCATGCACAATTTTCCCTCCTTTATCTTACCCTTACAGCCCTCCTACAGTAATTGTCCACTATACAACTCCTTTCTAATGCACTCCACCAATCCCTTCAGGGTTTTTTGAGAGATATCCTTTCCCACATTACAGCCATGTTGGCATAATTGTTCTCCTCAGCCCTATCCGTTTACGTGTGGTTTCGTTGCTGTTAGGATCTTATTAGGAGGGATGCTATCTTGTTACAGGTTCATCTACCGTCCACTTTTCTTTGTGACTTACAAATGGCTTCGTTTCTCCATCTGTCTGTTTTTGGAGATATTGTTGAGTCTTTAGAATCACATGGGGAATCTGTGAGACAACATTCAACTCTTTTAGTCTTTGATTGCTTGTTTGTCTCATCCTGATTTCATGACCACTCCTATAACTGTTTCTTATCATGCACCTTCCTGTCCTCTACCAGTTCTTACCACAATTGGGGTTCGACATTTTGTGATATGTTTAATGTTAGGTTTGTTCTTGCCAACAGTTCTGGTGACTATAAGGTGCTTTCTGGTCCAATGGGGACACATTTGGCCAATTTTGTTCCCATGTGAGGGTATTTACTACAAATTCCTGGGTGGTCCAAGTTTTGTCAGTAGGACTTTTCATCCATTTCCATTCTCCACCACTGTTGTCTCCTGTATTTATTTTCTTCCATTAACTCGAGATCCTGCTACCAGTCAGCATATATCTGAGGTTGTTCAGACTCCTTTATCACAGAGGGCTCTTGAGCCTATCAGCCAGCCTTTTCCAGGCTTTTCGCCATCAAAACTGGGGAGTGGCATCTTTTTAATTATCTGTCCTGCCTCATCCACTTTCTGGATCTTCCCTACTTTACCATGGAGCCCTTTCTCACACTCCAGTAGGCTTTTTGTTCAGGACTGTGGATGATCAAGGTAGATGTCCCAATTGCCTATCTTCATATTACTTTTTCTCATCAGTCCTGATGTCATCTCTGGGGTTGTGTATCAGTTTGTACCTTGTCTTTCAGGCTTGCTTCGGCACCATATGTATTTTGTCGGATGTATCTCGAGGGTTGTATCTTCATCACTACATGGATGACTAGGTTCCTGTTAGCTCATTCTGAACTGGAGTTTTCAAACACAAACATCTGCTGCTGACAGCAGCAGTTAGTGATGGTTGGATTCTTAAGTTGGAGAAGTATTTCCTTTTTGCCTACCCAATTTATTATCCACTAGGGTGTATGTTTCATCACCCACCTCAATCGAGCCTAACTTTCTCCACTTCTACTCTCTTCAATGGAGCTTTCAGTTCTCTATGCACTTACTGCTTCTTTTGTTTTTGCATGCAAGATTCTATCACTTTTGAGGACTAGGGCTTCAATAGAAGGCCTTATCCTTTTAGACTGTGGACATGTGTGTTCTCTTCAGAGGACATTGCCTGACCAATTAAACCTTGTTTGGGATTCCTTGGACTTTCAAATTACACTTCCTCTTTCCTGTATAGACAGTCTGCATTGGTGGTTGAACAAGGACAAAACAACGACAGGAGTAGTGCTTCCTCCACCTCATCCAGATTTTCATTTGTTCAGAGATGCTTCTTTCCAAGGTTAGGGAGTGTGGGTCCATTGGGAGGAGGCTTACAGACAATGGTCTCAGATCAAAATGTCTTATTATATGAAAATCTTGGAGCTTCTGGCAGTATGATGTGCTTTGGATAATTTTCTTCCTCAAGTATGGGACTGATACATCATGATACATTCCAAAAATTGCACAGTTGTGGCCTATATCATATACCAAAGGGTCGCCTGTTCCCATTCGCCGTTTGTGATTAAACGTTATAACTCCTTTATTGGGCCCACACAGTGGGGATAAGTCTCCTTGTATGTCATGTTCCAGGTGCTTCCAACCCTTTGGCAGATAATTTTTCAAGACCTGTCCAGATTTATCCCATGGAGTTGTCTCTTGACCCTCAGGTTTTCAGGTGGCTATGGAATCAGTTGGGTACTCCTCATCTGGATGCTTTTGCCACTTTTCTCAATCACTGAGTTACCTTTTTTTTTTGGTCTCTGGTTCCTCATCCTCAGGAACTGGCTGTGGATGTTCTCAGGGAGAGGACTGGACCTATCGGTACCTTTTTCTTTCCTTCCGGATTCGTATATCTACTTGTTGAGCAGTTCTTCTGAATTGTAATGTTAATATTGTTCTTCATTGCCTTCCACTACCTCCTCTTGAACCTTTGTCTAGATGTTTCATGTTTCACCTATCCAATAAGACTTATTTCCTACTCCTTTTAGTCTGTGGGCATCATCTAACTAATAAATTTAGCATCTATGTTTAATGTACTTTCTTCCATTATCCAGTTTAATCTTTCCTGCCCCAAACTGTGGTGGCTCATGAAGGACATTTTTGCTTTTCGCCTGTTTTCACTCCCAGTCATTTCCCACGTTTATTTCCAGTCTGATCTGGATAGACTTTCCTGTATGTGCTCTTCATTGTTACATTCCCCATATGGCATCTTTCCGTAGTTCCTGTTCCTGCATTTTCATTCCCTGGCAACATTCCTCTATACATGAATTTTCTCCTTCTATCTTACAACTGATTCAGTTGGCATATTTTTCCCTGTCTGCTTCTCAAACATTATTCCAAGTGTCATAGCATTAGATCAGACACCTTGCTTTTTTCATGTTGTCGTACTTTCATCATCATGTGGACTATGCCTCATATGTTCATCTCCCACTATCTTCATCGGGTAACTGTTTCCTCCTCATTGGGGTTCTGCCTATTGCTGTCCTTCAAACTTGGATGTGGCTGTGACTGGGTAACTTATCTTTTCTATATATATTTTTTTCCTTTCAATGAAGTTGCCCATTTAAGTTTAGGATCCTGCTTAGTGGTGAGCATTGCCTGTCCAGGTATGCTTTCTATCTTGCAAATCTACATTGTAAGACCAAGATGTATATCTGTGGCCAATAATGCACACTGTTGAGATGGGGTGTTCCACAAGATCACTAGTAGGTTTTCCTCATTATATTTGCTTTATAAATATGCCCATTCTGGACCGTACTAACCCATAGATATACATGGATAAAGCAGAAAGGGATAGCTGCCCATCCCTTTGATTGAATAAATCAGGGGTGGTCTGCTTTCCAATATAATATTTTGTGGTAATAGTAATTATTTTGTTATTTTTTCATAGGCTGCTTGTTTTAGATCTTGTGTTAGAGGAACTGACTACTAACAAGGAATCTGCTTCCCAACAGTTTAGTGTACCTTCCTCTGCAGTAATACTCTGGAAGGAGAAATTTAAAAATGTAGCTGTGAATATGTTGAAAACATGCTCTGATAGCACACAGTTAGATTTGGTGAGTTCAGTTTTTGTTCACACAGTTAATATCTGGAGAGAATGTATCTTTACAGTAGCTAGTTGATGCTTTTAACTATAATGTGTTTTACATATAATAATAGTGAAATTTGAAATGTCCCCACCATAGATGTACTTTAGAAATACTTGGTTTCTTTTTCTGGATTCAAAATGGTAGATATATATATACACCTGGAAAAAAGTTAAGCACCCCCGTGTTTTTTTCAAGTGATTCAGATTCAA